GTGCCCGCCATTGTCTGGAGACCCGAAGCCGGCGGCACGGACGCCTCGGGTATTCTGGAGGGACTGGAGCTGACTCCAAGCAGGCCCCTGGCAACAGCGTCAAAGGGTGTGTTTCTTACCGCTCTGAAGTCATTTCCGCACCCGCCCGCAGTGCCCCTACGAGCATGGCAGCCACCAGGCCCATTTTCACACCCAGCAGTCAGGCATTTTTCTTATTTTTTGCAGTTGCACGTACACGTGGGCAAACACAAGAACAGCCATTGATGAGTCCATTTCCATTTGGACCACGGGGTTTGGGGCACTAGAAGTCCTCCAGATCCCAGGTGTTTCTCAAGTGACGCCTTTCGTGTTAGGACCTAACTGAACAAGAAAACCCAGGGTGTCGTTAGAGGGTCTTGCATTGGAAGCTGAGACCAGCCACGTGCAGGTGCTAAGCCATGCTCCATTTGTAACTGGGATCCGTTCAGAACCCAGCTGAGTTAGGCCTGGGTTTTCCCAGCACTGCTGTGGAGAATACCCTGATTTCCACGGGTGCGCCTCACCTCCAGGAGGCCAGCACTGAACGTTATTATTGAGTATGTCAAGGAATATTTTAAGCTGAGTCATCCTGAGCTGCAAAGGAATCTTTCACAAAGGTATGTCACGCCTGTGCACTCCACCTAGAGGCTGTGTGGACTAAGTGGAGTTTACTGAGCAAAAGCTCCTTATAGGTTCCATACTTTTATGTGGGAGCTTAAAGAAAAATCTCTTCTAATCTGCTAGGAGACTGCAGAATATTCTTAACAGAATTCTCATCTTATAAGCTGTTTTTGTCTCAAGCCTGAAGGCACTTTTCGTACTTTGTCCATAGCCCGCAAATACTCGTTTGATTTTAAAAGCTGCCCTGTATTGTTCTGGTGTCTAACACAAGCTTGTTTCTAACGCAAGGCACATGTGTCAGGGAGTAGGTAGGACAGCCTCAGGAAGTCCGAAGTCAAGATTTGAGCAGAGGCTTTCCTGTCGGTCTGGAGATGGGAGACCCTGGATGTGCTTGGCCTGATGGCCATCACGCCGGCACAAGTTCTGACGGACATTCCTGCCGCTTCTAAGTTCACATACACCAGGAATGACAGCACCTGCGACTGACGTTGCACCAGCATTGAGCATGGTGCTTCATGCTTTCGACCTTCAGGCTCGTTCTGACTGCAAAGACTAAGTGCCTTCCACTTGGCCACAGGTCTTCCCCGTGGTACGATTAGCTCACTCTTCCCTTGGTGACTGTGCTCACTCACTCCCACCCCACGTGGAGACGCTTTGGGGCTGGGATTACCATGATTAAACGAACAATTCGTTCTTGTCGGGGCTAGATTATCTCTGTGTGCCTTCTGCTCTCACCCATCCCCTGCAGCAAGTTCCTCATTGAACTACAGTATTGAGAGGTAGAAAGGAAATAACTTATCTCCCCAGTTATGTTTTTGGAAAGAACCCAGCCTTTGGGAATTGCAAAGGCCTAGCTTGGATTATGATTCTCTGACTTATACACTGAATTTGGGTAGGCCACTTAATCGTTTGGAGTCTACCTTTCTTGTTTGCATAATAGAGATAATTAGATCCGTACAAGAAAGTTGTGGTTTTAACAACAGGTATGAAATGGCAAGACCAAAGCCAGCACATAGTAGGCATTTTATAAAAGTAGGTTTATAAATCGTGGCTATGGGCTTATGTCAGTGCACAGGTGCTAGGGGATGCCAATTAGGAGGCCAGGGGCATTATATGGAGGTACAAATACACGTGAAATTAGGATTTATTAAATGCCCTCGGTGCCCGATCTCAGTTTTTAGTAATTTTCACACCCCCTTCTTAAAACAGTTTCTTCCCTGGCTTTCGGATCACCTACCATTGGCCACTGACTTCATAAACCTACTTTATCGATTCTTCTTCTCCTGACCTGTTTGAGAGCCCAAAGGCTCACTCCCCAAGAATCTTATCTATTTTTGTGGCTTTACATATATCATGACCGTTTCTAAATTTTTTCAGACCTATTCAGTATCTCCGCGTGGGTGTCTAGATCTCCCAAACACGTCTAAAATGAGCTCCTGATGGTTTTCCTCTTGCCCCCTGCAAAAAGAGTGGCTCCTGCTCTTCCATCTTCAGAATTTATCCAAAACGCAACTGCTTCACATGGTCTAAGTCACCAAGATTTCCTGCCTCGACTGCTGAAGTAGTCTCCTGACTCTTCCCTTGCCCACTTACATTCTATACTGAATACACCCATCAGAACATTCCCTTTAAAATGGAAGTGGGGTCATGTCACCGCTCCACTCGGAATGCTCCAGTGGCTTCCCACGCCACTCAGTCTGAAAAACAAAGTCCTTGTAATGGTCTTCAAAACTGTGCGTGGTCTGGTCAGCCTCCTTCTCCCCGTCATAGGGTTGGTTGCTTCCCCCTTCCTCGTTCTGCTCCAGCCCGGGCCTCCTTGCTTTGCTAAGCCTGCTCCTACGTCCAGGCCTTTGTACATGCTGTTCCCTCTGACGAGGAACCCGTTGCCTGCTTCCTGTCTTTATCTTCATCAACAAGTAGGTGGTCACATGAAGTGTCGGATGCAGGACTCGGCATCTGGAAATGGGCGAGGAGCTGTGACATAACAGGTCCTCAGAAACTGATTGCTAACTTACTGGGAGGGAATCTAAACCTAAAAGAGCTTTAAGTTAAATAAACTGCAGTGTCTAATACAGTATGAAATAGTACCTGTACTATTGCTGTTAGCCATTTAAGGAACAAAAACAGCTACTCGTAGCACTAATTCGATGCTCAATGAATGACCCAGAAACTCTTTGGGAGTGCTTGTGGAGTCGCTGTGTAGTGAGTGCAAGAGGCAGGCCACACGGTGCCAAACACCCTGAGAGGACGAGGAGGTCTCACAGAGGCTCTGGGTTCAGGTCATCTTCCTCCTGTCCTAAAGCAGGGGCCCCTCCCAGGAGCAGCGGTTCTCCTCGTCTCTGGGTTCTCTTCACAGAGCACATGGAAGATGCGTCATAAAATCTGCTGGCCTAAACTGCATGTGATGTCCTGAGCTGCACTTGAGTCTCATCCTCCTCCTGCCTGTCTCTATTGTAGACACTGTGTTGTGTCAGGTGGGGCAGGGGCCCTGGTTTCTTCTTCCCCATTTAAAGAATGTGTGACGTGAGGGGCACCATGAAGGAAAACCCAACGGTGGTCCTTTGACAGTGACGAGCGGAAGCCACCTGCTACTGAGCCAGGAGAGAGGTTTGCTGAGAATTAGTGTTCCGCTTCGGGGCTCTATGGTGATGTGGATCCCTGCAGTGTAGCGTGCTGCAGCCCTTCCAGTGTAGGTTAGGAGGGTGTTGTGAGAGGACACGCGGGAAGGGGCAGAGCGCTTCCGTGGCTGAGGAAGTTTGGGGAAGGCTGGGTCAACGTTACTGGCGCTCTCTGCTGAAGACCGTCTAGAACACTTGCTCTGCCAGTGTGCTGTGGGAATCCTGCAGGCAAAGCTAACAGCGTTCCCAACTGGCTCTGTTGTCTTGTCTTGAAGGAGCACTGCCCAGGAACCACTGTTTCACAAAAGGGCACTGTGAGAAGCTCTGGTATAAAGTATATACTCTGGTAAGAACTGTATGAAGAACATTCCAGTGCCTTTGTGGACTTTCTGCCGTAAGAAGCCGATTGTAGTAGCGATGGTTAAGTGGATGTTGAGAGGGTCTTGGGTGTCATCTGGTAATGTAGTTGCTGCCTATGAAATAATGCTTTGGCTTTTTAACCCTAGACCTGGAGTGGAAAATTATCTACGTGGGCTCTGCAGAAAGTGAAGAGTACGATCAAGTTTTAGACTCTGTCTTGGTGGGCCCTGTTCCTGCAGGAAGGCATATGTTTGTATTTCAGGTACGTTTAATCTTGGTAAGTGCGTATGCCAAACGTGTTGCTGCACGGACTGCATTATTTTATGGCCCTTATCCCTTTCCTTCGGGGTTAAGTCATTCTGCTTCTACTGCACTTCTGATCTGCGTCCACCATGTTTCAGGCAGTCTGTGTCACATGGAGCTCTGCCAGCTTCTCTAGGCTGAGAGCTGCTACTGTGCTGTTTCCCTTAGGAGACGCACAACCTACAGTCAACCTGACACCACCCGGCACACAGAGGGGTCCATTTTGGGCTCTTCCTATGAACAGTCTCTTGGTATCATACTTCCAGGGTGGCCGTCCAGCAGCCTGAAACATGGATTCAAAATACCTGTTCTAACTGGCATAATTAGTAATGTGCATCTGTAGTTTATAGTTTAAGCCACTTTCATGAATGATGATGGGACAAAAACAACTTTATTTCAGCAAAATCAGTAATTGGGGTAGATTAACAAGTATATTTAGCAGGTAGAGATGTGTGATCTTGGGTCACTGGAATTAAATTCCAGTGGTTTACTAAAGCATTTAATAACCTACAAATCTCATACAGGACTACTTTTGCAAATCTACTACTCCACCAGTTATTTGTAGGGGAAAATTCTACTAATGTAAATTATATTCTTAAATGCCACTGACAGTATTTGGATCTGTGCCAAGGCTTCAGACAGTGTCTTCTGTAGTGAAAGTGTTTCTTTTCTTTCCTTTTTTTTTGAGTTGGAGTCTCTGTTGCCCAGGCTGGAGTGCAGTGGCACGCTCATGGCCACCACAGTCCTGACCTACTGGGCCCAGGCGATCCTTCCGCTTCAGCCTTTCAAGTAGCTGGAACTACAGGCATGCACCACATGCCCGGCTAATTTTTTGATTTATTGTAGAGGTGAGGTCTCACCAAGTTGCCCAGGGTGGTCTTGAACCCGTGGTCTCAGGCAATCCTCTCACCGTGGCCTCCCAAAGTGCTGGGATTATAGACGTGAGCCACTGCGCCCAGCCAGTGTTTCTTTTAATCCATGTTAAGTTGTTGTGTAAAACTATTCAGTCATTTCTCAAATATCTGTGCTCACATAGAGGTAGATGTTCATAATAGTCCAAAGATAGCTAGCCATAGGTTTTTTTTTAAACTATTCATTTCTGCTATAAGTATTTTTACCAACAAAGTCCTATCAGTTAAGTAGAGCCCACTGAAAATACTTAATCCAGAAAAAAAATCTAACTTCCCATCTCTGACCTCTGTGTTTCTCACTTCACATTGGACCAATTTAAATGAATGCAGTTGGTTAAGTAATCTCGTCAAAACTGGCAGACTCAGTTACACATGCCATCTCTAGAGCTGCTACTTTTCCCTCTCTTGTCCTAAGTATCGAATTCAGAATCTTGGTTTCCTTAGCCTTAGCACTTTTTATTAAAAAGCAACAAATAATTTAGTGTATCTTTAGGTTGGTAAAAAAAAAAAAAAAGTCAAATGGTCCAAATACATGAATTAACAGTGCTGCCAGCCTAATTTGTATGAGTGCATGACCCTGTGAAAGACAAAAGTATTGGAATGCCTGTACTGTGGGGGAAACACTGCAGTTACAACATGGGTCAGACCCCAGTGCTGCTTGTCAGCTGTCTGTGACTGAGAGCAGCTCCCTGACCTCCCTTGGCCACACCACTCCTCCAGAAAACACGGGCCTCAATCTACCGCATAAGGGTGTCATGAGGAATAAAGCCGTCGGCACAGCCACCGACAGACTGTGCCATATTTCTGTAATTCCAACTATTTAGGTTCTCTTAGCTTCTTGAAATTGTTATATAAAAAAGCATGACTTGCCCTGGTCCACAGCCTAAGGAATCTACACTTTACTGATGATCACTCATGATACAGTACAAGAAATTTGAAAAACATGTACTAGCTGGGCGCAGTGGCTCAAGCCTATAATCCCAGCACTTTGGGAGGCTGAGGTGAGAGGATTGCCTGAGCCCACGGGTTCGATACCAGCCTGGGCAACTTGGTGAGACCTCGTCCCTACAATAAGTCAAAAAATTAGCTGGGTGTGATAGCACGCACCTGTTATTCCAGCTACTTGGAAGGCTGAGGTGGAAGGATCACCTGAGCCCAGCAGGTCGAGGCTGCAGTGGCTGTGAGTGTCACTGTACTCCAGCCTGGGTGACAGAGTGAGATTCCAACTCAAAAAAAAAAAAAAAGAAAAAAACATGTACTGATAGATCTTTTTGTGCTACTATAAAAACTTATATTAAAAAACCATAAAAAACAAATGCCCTGCTTTTGAAACAAGCTCTTAATGACACTTTTGTTATTAAGAACACTCCTCAGCTTTTGGTGAACGTGCTGTAGGAGAAAGTATTTCCTTTTGGTGATTTTCAAGTAGCTTTACCTTGGTATCAGTGTGCGTGTTGCCAAAAAGAACAGGGGAAGCACAGAGTACATCAGCCTATATGTTTTACAAAATTCACCATTATCAACAAAGAGACAACAGAGTTTTGTTTATGTTTCAAAATGTAGTATTCTGGTGTGCCTCTGAAAATAGTTAAACATGCCTTTCTTGTCAGTGGGTCAAAGCCTAGCAGGAAGATGTCTAGACGTCTGCCTGATATTGCCAGCTAGAGTCAAAGGTCTGCCCATCACCTCTCCATCCTGAATGATTTGAGAGGCCTACAAATTTCTCAAATTTGCTCAAGCTGAATCCTCTTGAGTTTTAAAACATTTTTAGAATTGTTGTAAATTTGCAAACAAATGTTAAAACACAGCCATGCCTAGAACCCCTTTATTGAGGGTATGAGCAGCGGTATGGGGGAGGAGTTGCTGCAGCAGCACCGAACTATTTCCTATCTCCCCCCACTTCCGGGCACATCAGAATCCTGTAGGGTGTCCCAGACATCACCTAAGCCCTCTGGAGAGGAGGGTGCATAGGATCTCTAAGACAAAGAGCCTATCTTCCAGGATAGGCTGTCTGTCCCTGTCCTGGTGGTGTGGGTGAATTTCAAAACACTAAGTGCTCATAGCCGAGTCACACATAAGATTATAAAGATGAGCTCAATGGGACTCCTGCACTGGTCTAGCTCAGAGTCTAGCAGAGAAGACAGGAGCGTGAACAGACTGACTTAGGTTGTTGAGTATATGTTAGTGAAGGCTTTGTGTCAAGTAATATAATAAGCACACGAGAAAGGAATCTACTGATTCTGCCTTCTGAGTTGGAAAGGGCTTCACTGAGGGTGCATTTGATGCCGGCTCCAAAAGGTGGATTTTGTGGATGTGAGGGAAGGACGTTTCAGACCAAGAGACCAGTACACGCCAGGCACGGGACACGAAAGCTTGTTACCACATTTTAAAGGCCCTGTGTTCACACCTCTAGAATACAAGTGGAGTCAAGGGAGGTTTGAATGGAGATGCTGGTGGTGACAAGTTGTGAAGGACTTGATAAAGGAAGTTCAAGAGCTGAGATTTTATCCCTTAGAGCTGGGAAGGATCATCTGAGAGTTTAAGCTCAGGGAAGGAGACAGGAGCAGATCTGTGTTTAAACACTGAGTGGAAATGTTAGGTGAGAGCCTGGGAGGCCAGTGGCAAAGTTGCAGTATTCCACATAAGAGATGAAGATCTGAACTCAGCCTTCAGGAAGGAAATGTGCTGAGCCTGACTCAATTTGGGAGACAGGGAGCAGGATGACTGAGGTTTCTAGCCTAGGTGATCAGGTGGACCCTTGTGCCTTTTTGTGTTGTCTAGTGTGGCAGGCAGGCAATAACATAAGTCTTCAAGATGGCCAAGCCCAGGCCCAGGGATGCTCCTTGGAGTCCTGGCAGCAGTAGGCTGATTTGCTGAGACTTGACTCACTTGCTGCCCAGAATGACTGCCTTGGGTCACACTCCATGCCTCCGCCTTCACTGCCCATGGTGACTGGGTAGAAGGCTGGCTCCTTTCAGTCACCCCGGTACTGTCCCGCATACTGCTGTGGACAGGCCCACCCCTCACTCATGCTTTCAGCCGCCTCTGCCCTTGACGTCTGCCTGAGACAGTCTACTTTCACTGGTTTCCACAGTATATGTGGTTTCCACAGCACACTACATGGTAGCGTCTAGCCGAGTGGTTTCCACAGTATATGTGGTTTCCACAGCACACTACATGGTAGCGTCTAGCCGAGTGACTAGTCCCAAAAGAGGTTCATTAGTCTTTGGACAGGTCTCCTACACAACTATTTCTGTTCTGTTGTCAGTTTTACACTAACTTACTGTTAGAGCCTGTGAGGGGCACTCAAGTGGGTGTGAAAATACAAGTATCCCAGGTCGAACGAGGAAACTGGTCTGCTGAAGTACTTGCTGCCAACAGGCCGTTGAAGATAATATAACGTTTGCTAATTTAGGTCTGAAAATTATGACTGGAAAAGGTTAAAATCAGCAAGCCTGATTGATTCAATAGTTTGCTTATAAAAGGTTTTCTAATGGATATTTCCAATGTGGCGACGCTTTCAAGCATCGAGGGTGCCTAGGTACCCTGTGGAACGTGCTGCACTTATTCGCCTTCCCCACGTGGGTTCCCAGTTCTTGTTGCTACATCCTCAGCTGATGGTGCTGAAGGTACCGAAACTCCAGTCTCGCCTGCCGTAACAGCCTCTTGTGTGTTTCTTTTCTTTTTAAACCCTTTCCAGGCTGATGCACCTACCCAGGACTCATTCCAGATGCAGACGCAGTAGGTGTAACAGTTGTGCTA